AAGAGAAAAAAAAGACAAGAGCCAAAAATAAAAGTCATTTTTGCAATTGACATCTAGAACTAATGACTGACAAGCTCATGGTTATTTCTTTGTCCTGAAATGGACAAATGTCTCTCCCTTTTGTGGGTATAATGAGTTAACAAGAGAGGCCAATTTAATCCCTAGCCATTAGTACAACCCTATTCCTTCCCAGAAACTCATAACAATAATAAAAGAAAAAAACATAAGTTTGTAGCAGCATACCACGTGTGGGAACTCAGCTCTGCTGGATACCAAATGAAATGCCAGTTTTATTTAAAGAACTAAGTCTTCATTTGGAGTTTTTATTTGTATTACAAGAATCAAAATACCATCTGCAGGACAAATGGACTCTGGCCATGATGCCAAGTAAAGTTTTCTTGAGCATTAACCCCATCTCTACAACAGTCTGAAACTGAGCACTCTTATCTTTACTAGGCAACTCACTTCACCTCTATGGATCTGTTTCCTCATCGGTTACATGAGAGTAATAATAGTACCTCTCATATAGGTTGATGTAAGGACTGAAGACCTATTTCATGTAAAGCATTTAACAAAGCACCTGCCCATAGTTAAATATTCAATGTATTACCTGCTATTATTATTTTGATTCAGCTGGGACAATAGCATCTTCTCCCTTACCATACAGCTAGCTCAGTTTATAGTTTTAATCTCCCAACATGAATATTTTAATATGTTAACATTCAAGCACAAATGTTAAAGCCCCCTCCCTTGTTTATAACCTTTGGCCAACATACTCTTTGTACATAAGAAACTAAAAGGTTACGGGGCGCCTGGGTGGCTTAGTCGGTTACGCGTCCGACTTTCGCTTAGGTCATGATCTCGCGGTTCGTGGGTTCGAGCCCCGCGTCGGGCTCTGTGCTGACTGCCAGCTCAGAGCCTGGAGCCTGTTTCAGTCTGTGACTCCCTCTCTCTCTGACCCTCCCCTGCTNTCTCTCTCTCCTAGAAATAAATAAAACATTAAAAAAAAATTAAAAAAAAAAGAAAAAAAAAAGAAACTAAAAGGTTAGAACACTGTGTGCACAGCAAGCTAGACTCATCCTTGCAAGATGAGTTTCTCAAGAACTGCACCAGAAAGTTAGGCAGGAAGCCAGAGGTTAGCACAATAACTGCGCTGTCTGCCTCTGTAGCCTACTTGCCACATAGGTGATATTTGTATCTTAGAGAAACAGGTCCTAGTCACGCAGATGCCTGGGAACCAAGTCCAGCCTGATAAGCTCAAGAATATAAGCTCTCCCCTGCTGCTATTCGGGGCTGCTTGACTTGGGTGCTCCCCAAGCATGCCCAGCGCTAAATAAAGAAGTGTGTGTGACGCCAATCTGTGTTCCTGTATTCTGTTCACTGATGTTGGCTCTCAGGTGGCTACAAGACAAGGGCAATTCTTTTAATATTTTAACTCTCAAACACAAGGACAGTTTTGCCTCCCTGCTCTCTCTCAGAATCAGAAAAAGGGAGTAATTTTCAACTAGGCAAATAGGGTGGCCCAAGGTTAAGTGGGTTGGGAAAAGAGGGAGTTTGGATAGAAAAACCCCCTTTGCTTTGATGATGCCACCTTCCTATACCATGCCAGAGAATCTGGAGCAGATAACATGACCTACAGAGGAAGGGACCTAGAAAAAGATAAGGCTGGATACTACAAGGGATGTGATTATCTTCAACAGAGAAAGTACCTAAAGAAGGAGTAAGAAGAGGAGAGATTTGAAAGTTATATATTCCATTTTGCCCATCAGGCAACATCATAATCTTAAGTTAACATTTTTCTAGTTACAAAGAGCTTTCACACACATCTTTTTATTTAGTCCTCACAATCACCCTGTGAAGTGAGCAGAGAAAAATTTCATTAACCCCATGGGTACAGGAGGAAAGAAAGGCTCAGAGAAGTTAAATAATTCATCCAAAGTCATCAGCTGGTAGCTGGGGTGCCGAACATTCTAATTCAAGTGCCCTGGGTTCAAAAACCACGCCTTTTTTATTAAAACATACTGGACTTTTATGTGAACTTCAGCTAGCCTGGACCAAGTCTGTTAAGATTGATAGAAAAAATAAGTTCACAAAATAATTGTGAACTCTTCCCTGACCCTCAATCTCAAATAGCAGAAAGAAAACTGACAGCAAGGAGATGGATTTAGAATAGAAAAAGGCTAGCATTGGGGAGAGAAGTAGGATGTGGGGGGGGGCGGCTCTAACTGTAGGGGGGAAAAAGCGGCTCTAACTGGGGATTGGGTGTAAGCAGGCGCCAACTGGTCTGGCGATGCCACCTCCTGGGTTTTTCCTTCTGGCTGAGCAGGGCCAGGTCTACTCGGCTACACTTCCTTCTTTTACCCATAGCCCAGGTTGGGATGGAGAGATACTGTAGTTCCCAAAACCCACACACGCACACTGGGGAGCTGGATCCGGGACAGCAGCGGTGTTCTGCGCAGCTGTCTGGCAAGGTTAGGGACAGAAGTCAAGAGGAAGGTAGGAAAATACCGGATAAAGGAAGTAACTCTCCAGGAAGCGATAGCATGTGGAGTATTTAAGAAAGACAGTTATAAGCGTGGCGAATGTGTTAAGAGGCTCGAGTAAAGACGGGGGGGGGGGGCGGCCTGAGGTGACTGCTGGCGTGCCGGGAGGGAGGGACTGAGGCAGGCACGCACTCTGCGTCCCGTGAGCAGACAGTTGCTACAGACCACCTCTCTGCGCTGCCGCCCAAAGGCCGGCCCTGAGAAGAGTTCAGGTTGAAATGGGGTGTGAACCGAGTAGGAGAACGTGGGTCCCAGCGCGGGAAGTGGGCGTCAAAGAACACCCAGAAAAGGTTTGAGAGGGCTCTAGGCTGGAAACTTAAACAGCTCGCGGCCCCCATCCTCTCCTAAATCTTCTCCTTACCTTGGGCACCGTAATATGGCCCATATTCCCACCACCTTAAGTCCTCAAGACTCCCGCTGCCGCCACCGTTTCTTGCCCGACCACGGGTCCTGCTCCTGGCCTCCCAATCATGTGATCACCCTATCGCGACAGTTCGTCTGTGTCCTCCCTCGCCATTTTGCTTTCTGGCAAATGCCCTTTGTTTAGGAAGCTGACCTTTTTCTTGTTCGGGCTACAGGTTTGGCCCAGGAGTTAAGTCCCAGACTCGAGTACTGCCACTATTCTCATACCCCTTAATGGTATAAAGATTACAGGAACTGATATAATTATACTACTCTCTAATGTTAACAGTAATGGCACCCTGCAGAGATAGCACTGACATTCCCATGCTGGCAACTGGGTTTCTAAAAAGCTTCCTAGGGGCGCTTGGGTGGCTCAGTGGGTTAAGCTTCCGACTTCGGCTCAGGTCATGATCTCACAGTCTGTGGGTTCCAGCCCCGCATTGGGCTCTGTGCTGACAGCTCAGAGCCTGGAGCCTGCTTGAGATTCTGTGTCTCCCTCTCTCTCTCTGCCCTTCCCCTGCTCACTCTCTGTCTCTGTCTCTCAAAATAAAGACATAAAAAAAAAAAAAAAAAACAGCTTCCTAGCTATGACCCTGGACAAGTCACCATAGAATACTTTTTGAAATGATGTAAAAGTATATCCTCTGCTCACTCCCTACTTTTACTAGTCTACTATAGTTATGTCCTGGACTATTGCAGTAGCCTCATAACTTTTGTCAGCATAAATGTGGGAAATGGACCAAAGGCCCACCAGACCACCTCTCAAATGAGGTGCTGACAGGTATGATCATTCAGTGGTATTCTCTGAATCAACTTGTGATGGAAAAAAGAACAGTCTGGGAGTTGGAAAACCTGATATAAATGTCATTTATTATTTGTCTCCCCAGTTAGGATGTCAGCTTTATGAGGCAGGAAATTTTGCTCACTGCTAGATCTCCAAAGTTGAGAAAAGACCTGGCATAGAGTAGGTATTTAATATTCGTCACATAAACAAATTTTCAAAGCCATCCCAGGTTTCACCTACCGTTAACTTTAGCCATTCCCCTTACATGTCCTCCTTATGGTTAACTCATATCACTTCAGATGAAATTAAGGCACAGACAGTAACTTCCCAAAGATTGTAGAAGACAAATTGGACCCCCACTATAGTAGATACAGCCTGGGATAAGAGGAAAAATATGGGAAAAGAAAGTATTAGACTTAAAATATTTACAGTGAAAGGGTACTCTTATCATCTATTATTTGTTTGTCTCCCCTATTATGATGTTTTTCTCTGTTCACTACTGTATCCCAGTGCTTAGAAAAGTACTTTGCACATAGTGAATGCTTGATAAATATTTGCTGAATGGCAAGATAGGAATGAATAACTCTAGACTCACATCTGGTGCATTCTGGAAGATAAACGAGAGGGAAAGAATTTGTAGACAGGGAAGCCATGAAAAGGCTATTGTGGTTTTCCCAAATGGAGCTGTGAACTTGTGAGTCTGTGGGATTTTTGACCTTGTACCTAAAGGACAGGCCTCAACGAGATCAACCAATATCTGAATGTTGGTTGCTGCACCAAATCTTACCTGTCCTGCTTTATAACCAAACCTCCAACTCTATTATTGTCCACTTATATTCTACTTTGAATGCTTTTCCACTCTTAGGGGTTGGTGTTCTTCTCATGGTATCCCAAGGAAGTAGGTGTACTTTTCCCCATTATCTATCTCACTAGCTAGAGTTACAGCCTCAGAAAGCTGCTGCCAAAGGCCACCCATGATGTGGTGGATGATGACTATTTAAAAAGTCACAGGGCCTCTGTGACCTCACTCCTACTCAAAAGGTAGCTTGATAAATCACAGCAGAGGGCAGGTGGGACATAACTTCATAAAGGTGTCACCAAGACCTCCTCCACTTTGCTGCTGGGGAGAGGCCATCAGAAACAGACTGTATTTTTAGGTTATTTCAGTCTCAGCTTATCTGTCATCTTAAGCCAACTGCTAACAAACTTCTTTTGCAGACAAATTATTAGGAAGCACTTTATTCATCTTTTAGAGACAGCTTACTTGAATCATGCAGTGCATAGGGGATATCAGTGAAGAGGTCTGGCAAGACTGCATCACCCTCTTCCTACAGACTGGGATGTGCTGTGATGCAGCAATTATCACCAATTCCCCACCATGGTTGCTAGCTTTTTACCCCGAAGGTAACTTGTTCCAGTTGACCCAGGAAGAAATTCAGATCTTGCTGGCAAGAGAGGGGAGAGAGAAATTGTTTCATCAGGGGATCACACTTGCAGGGACAAAATGCTTATTGATTCGGGACAACCTTTACACCGAGGGAAACAACACCATGGACCTCCGCACCAAAGGCCAGAGTCAGGGCAGCCAGGCAGTCACTGTAGTTCAGATTGAGTCCGTATACCTTGTGGTGATGGGACAAAAAGGAACAGAAGGAGGTCCTCTCAACCTTAAGGTTTTTGAGATGGCAGGTTACATCAAAGAGGCCATTCATCAACACATGGCCCATTTCTAACTAAATAAAAAGGAGCTGATGTTTGACCTAGAATTTGAATTCAGTGTTATCTGTATTACCTACTAAGTTAACTCAGTCTTGGAGAAAAAGAAAAGGAGATCCCATATCAGGTTTGGAGATGTGTGTGTGTGTGTGTGTGTGTGTGTGTGTGTGTGTGTGTGTTGGGGGGAAGGATGGTGTTGGGAGGGTGGTGTTGGGAGGGGGTAAGATTGCAAGTAAGAGTTCAGATATTAGGGCTTCTGGGCCTTTCTTACACTTAGAACACCATTCCTCCTTTCTCAGCACCTGGAAAAAAAAGCAGTAGACTAGGAACTAGGAAATTTTGGTTCTATTCTTAACTTTTTCCTTACTTACTATGATATCTTTCTCTCTCTGGGCCTCAGTTTCCTTATCTATATAATGAGGAGCACACTATGTCTCTGAGGATCATTTAAGCTCTGAAAATCTGAGATTTTATAACATTACAAAAAGCCTTCAAGGTCACTACCTCCTTGAGGAAGCTTTTTCTACCTATCTGAACCCTTGGGGTTGACACTGATTTGAATTCCTAAAACATTAACTCACTGTGTCATTATTTGGCCCTTAGCCACACTCTCCCTAACACTTCTTAGATGACTGTTTTGTGCTCTTGTTTAACTTTTCACGCACACATTGGTTTTGTTTCCCACCTTCACTGTAATCTTAAAAGGAAGATGGTGGGGCGCCTGGGTGGCTTAGTCGGTTAAGCGTCCGACTTTCGCTTAGGTCATGATCTCGCGGTTCGTGGGTTCGAGCCCCGCGTCGGGCTCTGTGCTGACTGCCAGCTCAGAGCCTGGAGCCTATTTCAGAGTCTGTGACTCCCTCTCTCTCTGACCCTCCCCTGCTCACGCTGTGTCTCTCTCTCTCTCCTAGAAATAAATAAAACATTTAAAAAAAAAAAGGAAGATGGTGTGTCTTCTACTTCTCTATTTGCTTCCTAAGATATCCCAGCATGGGGCTCTGACAGAGAAGTTGGTTATAGGCTATAATTACTTATCAGGAAAGGAGAGACTTTTGAAAGTGGAGATTCTACTGGGTATGGATGATCCAGGGTGCTTTGTGGCTAGGTTTTTCGCTTTGATTTGTACCTCACCTTTGGGTCATTTATCTGTTCATTGTTCTCACTGTCAGGGTAATCATAGGTGGTAAAGAGCTAAGAAAAGAGGTGAAAAATCTTAAGCACTCAATCTGGCTTGTTGTTAGCAGCTCTGGGAATATGGGATGAGGGAAGGCAGGAATGAAAAACATGAGGTTGTATAATAAACTACAGTGCTTACTTGACCCTGGTACTTATTTGGTCCTATTGTCACCAGTCACCCGGGAACAGTGATTATGGATAAACCTCTTCTGTGTTAATTACAAGGACCCACCTCTAAAACACCCCCAACACATACCCTTATAAGCTTATAAAGCTCAGAGTTTAAACATGGAAGTTGTCAAAATCTCTAGAGCAGTGTTATTCAATATACATATAATGCTAGTCACATTTGTAATTTAAAATTTTCTGGTAGGCACATTAAAAAAGTAAGACAGGTGAACTTAGTTTTATGAATATATTTTATTAAACCCAGTATATCCAAAATTTTATTATTTAAACATGTAATCAATGAAAGTATCACTGATATTTTATATGTTTTTATGCCAAGGTTTCAAAATATGGTGTATATTTTACATCTGCAACACATCTCAATTCATAAAAGCTTCATTTCAAGTGCCCCATAGTCAAATGTATCAAGAGGCTACCAAATTTGGCAGCGTGGATTTAGGCCAACCTTCTCCAATGTTTGAAACTCCTCTGTAACTTCCTTCACAATGCATCTATCCACTCATCCAAGACATCCCATACAAGACGTTGGCTAGGTAATTAAATGTAGAAGGAGGAGGAGGAGGAGGAGGAGGAGGAAGAGAAGAAGGAGGAGGAAGAGGAGGAGGAGGAGGAGGAGGAGGAGAAGAAGAAGAAGAAGAAGAAGAAGAAGAAGAAGAAGAAGAAGAAGAAGAAGGAGAAGAAGAAGAGAAGAAGAGGAGGAGGAGGAGGAGGAGGAGGAGGAGAAGGAGGAGGAGGTTTCTTAGATAAGATTTTAGTGGGTTCAAGATAAATGAAAAGATAAATTATAGTACCATGAAGTAAATGCTATGAAAAATTTTATTTATTCAAATATGTATTGATCTCCCATTATGTGTCAGGCACTGTTGTAGATAGATCAGTAAACAAAATACACAAAAAACTTATGCTCATGGAGGTCAAATACTAATGGGAGAAATGAGTATATATATCAGGAGATGATAAATGTTACAAACAAAGAAGTATAAAGGGAGATAGAGAATGATGGAACAAACTATTTTAAGCAAGGAGGTCAGAGGCAGCTTCTATGGAGAGAAGATATCCGTGCGAAGGCATAATGAAGTGAAGGAGTGAGATATGTCAAGAACTGGGGGCAGTGTTTCAGGTAAAAGCCCTAAGGAGGGAGTGTACCTGGTGTGCTGAAAAGGTATCAGGAGGCCAATGTGATTGTAGCCTCTCAGGACAACGACTGTTTCCCTCTCCATCTACAGCATCCTTAAGCGTGGCAGTGAGGCAGCAGATGGCTGCCTCTCAGGGTGAACAGAAAAGCAGAGCAAAAGCCTTCATCACCCTTCTGGGCCATCTCTTTCTAATGAAATTGCCTTAACTATTTGGCAGCCACATCATACTGCTGACTCACATAGAACTTCTAATGAACTAACCCCCCTAGTACTTTTTCATACTGGCTGCTATCAAGAAAAGAGCTTCAAATAGTGGCAAGTCAATAAACCAAGGAAAAAAATAAATATGAAAATGGTTTCACTGGAGCCATAATCTTGGACAGACCTTCAATGTTACATGATTTATAGGTGAATTTTTAAGGTAATTGAGCCTTATACATCATTCGTTGCAGCCTTGATCTCCAAAGCAAAGAGATGTGTTCAGGAAATAAGGCCACTGAGGAAAATGGTATTGCCAGTTAGAGGGGCCCAGGCAAATCCTTCATTAGACGACAGGCTAAAGTATCCAGATGTCCCATTAAAAAAGAAACTTAAGCCTATTAGCAGGCTTTTGCACTAAGGAGTTCGCAGTGAATATACAACTTCCTGGATGATTAAATGAATAACAGACATAACAAATTAACGGATAAAGAAATGATTTTCTAGCCAAACCCCTTCCTTAATTGCCTATAGTTTAAATGACTGGAGAATGAGGGGAAGTTGTTGATGACTCTTCCTTGTCCCTTTTTTTTATCTATTTCCTAGTAGCAATTAGATTCCCTTGCCTCTAGGCAGTGAAACAGTTCACTCTGGGAAAACTTTAGCTCTGGCTTTGAGGCTTTAGGTGATTATATGTTCCTTGCATAAGGTGAGATCCATGCCAAATAAATGGTGAACAAAACTAATAGTATAGGAATTGAGTGGAAAAGTCCATTTGGGTGCTATCCTTCCTTATTACTGCATGGAATGTGCATATTCTCTACCAATTAAGAGTTATATATGCATTATATTCATTTATTCAGATGTTCATTTATTCTCTTTTTGGATTGTTTATAAAGGCATTTACAATGAGTTGAGATGTTCATTTATTCTCTTTTTGGATTGTTTATAAAGGCATTTACAATGAGTTGAAAAGCCTTAAATTCTGAAAGCCTGAATTCCAGCCCTGAGCTATCATTCATTAAGTATATGAGCCTGGGATAATCATTTACCTCTATCAGCCTCTGATTCTTCACCTAGAAAATGAGGATTCTGGAGTGGAGATAAATGAAAAAATGAGCACAAAGTGATTTGGAAGGGATAAAATGCTTTAGCTATCAGGTCAACCATAGGAATGGGTGTGGGGATTTAGAGTCCTCTCTCTTCAGACAGGTATAGGTACCCCCTACTTTTCAAAATTTCATGGTATCTCATTCACTTTTATGAAAGACCTATATTAGCACTCGTTTTTGCTAACCAAATAAAATCAAAAGACGACTTTCACTTTTACAAAAAAAGATGAAAAACAAAAGTAGTGCTCAGCATTTGTTTTGCAGCAAGCCATTACAGAGAACGCATGCACCCTGTGTAACAAGAGTGGTGCCTCCAAGCTCTTTCCCTGGAAACTACATTCGGCATCTCAGCATCCAGCTGCCATAGCTTTGAACTGTGTTTGTGCTTCATCTCTATTTATTTTGTGCATCCATTAGCAAGGTGTGCCTTAAGGTATCGGAAAAGTCTAAAAGAGATTACTTTTTGGGCCTTGGAATGCTCAGAAATTTTTCTGTATAATTTAATGGTAATTGCTTCTTTGCATTATGCTGTTTTGACTTATAAAAGGTTTCATAGGAATGCTCTACTCTCAGGTAGCAGGGGAAGCCTGTACTTGTACGGGTGTGTAAGCTGAGCTCCTATGTGCTTAACAGCATAGTCTGAAAACTTTGAGTTTAAAGTACCAGTTACAGCAGAGACTTTAACTGATTTTGAAGTGGCCAGGGATGGGGGTGGAGTAAGAATAAAGTGCTGCCTCTAGTGGAAAGGGTAGAGGTAGTTCTTTTTTTTTTTTCTCTAGTTTCTCAACTTTATTTTTTTTAATTTTTATTTTTTACAAATAGTTTATTGCCAAGTTACTTTCCATATAACACCTAGTGATCATTCCCACAAGTGCCCTCCTCCATGCCCATCTCTCACCTCCCCCACACACACCCATCAGTCCTCAGTTTGTTCTCAACATTTAAGAGTCTCTCATGGTTTGCCTCTCTCCAACCTCCCCCACTATTTCCCCCGTTCTTCTCCCCCACGGTCTTCTGTTAAGTTCCTTCTAATCCTATATGTGCAAACATATAGTATTTGTCCCTCTCTGCCTGACTTATTTCACTCAGCATAACACCCTCAAGGTCCATCCATGTTGCTACACATGGCCAGATTTCATTGTTTCTCATTGCCATGTAGTATTCCATCATATAGATAAACCACATCTTCTTGATCCATTCATCTGTTGA